ATATATATAATTAATTCTACTTACACTATATGTATTTTGTTTGTTACTTAAAAACTCAAATGTGCTTTATATTTTAGGTCCGGTTTATCACTAAGATATGGCATCCTAATATTAGTTCTGTCACAGGGGCTATTTGTTTGGATATTCTGAAAGATCAATGGTAAGAGATTTTAAATTCACCTTCTCTCCTCTTAATGAATACTCAATTCATATTTCATATGAACATTCATGCTTATGAGTATATTTAGATGTTAAAAATGAAATTAACTCAAAACATAAGCCTTTATTATACTTTTCTTTTGTGGCAATAATTTTAAAACTTCATGAAGTCTCAAGTATGTGACTGAAAATGTTGTAATTGAGAGCATAATCTGTGTTTAAATAGAGGCTTGTCAGATGATACCAGGAATGCTAAGTTTACATTCTGACGTCTTAGATTTCATTTGTTATTTCAGTGAATTTAATTCTTTGCTATCTCAGAAAAGTACTTGGGAAAGACTAAAAGTAAGTACTGAAGCAGTGAGTTCAGCTCTGACTTACAGAATGTAGACAAGAAAAATGTTAGAAGTTGTGTTAATGGAACATTAAGTTCTCAGATTACAAGAACAGCTGTTACAGGTGATACCTTCATTCACATAGCACATTATAGTGTTTCAAGAGTTCGTGCTCTGGGACTAAATACCCTGCATTCCTTGCTCTGCCATTTACTAAGCTGTGTGATCTAAACAAGGTACCTAACATCTCTGTGCCTTAGTTTCCTCATCTGTAAAATGGGGTCAGTAATACCTTCCTAATAGGGCTGTTGAAGGGATTAAATGAGTTCTTTTATTTAATTCTCTTAAAGTAGAACCTTACATTTCCTAGCGATGAATTTGGTGGTGGTGGAGGTGTAGGCAGAAAATAGTACGTTAAACGTTAAACGATGTTAAAATCGTTTAACACATGATTTATAGATGGACAAACTAATAGAAAAAAATACAAGAGGCCATTTGAGTCAAAGGAACAATAAAATTAGAACAAGTTGACTGGATGTATGTTGTGACCTTTTTCCTCTGACTTTACTCTTTTCCAAGAGGAGGGAAAAAAAACATTGGGTGAGGATTCATGCATATAAGATCCTGTTTAATGTGCTCAACCTGGCTACCTAGTCCTTTGAAAACTTTTTCAGTTATGTTTGATTCATAAAGAATGGAACTTGAATAAGGCAGAACAGGAATGTTGTTGGTGTTAGGTGCCGTCGAGTGGCCTCTGACTCATAGTGACCTTTATAGCAGAACAAAACACTGCCTGTTTCTGTGCCATCGTCAAGATCCTTGCTATACCTGAGCCCATTGTTGCAGCTACTCTGTCAGTCCATCTTGTTGGTGGCCTTACCCTTTTTCGTTGACCCTCCACTCTATCAAGCATGACATCCTTCTCCAGGGAATGGTTCCTTCTGACAACACGACCAAAGTAGTAGGTGAGATGAAGTTTGGCCATTACCGCTTCCAAGGAGCATTCTGGCTGCACTTGTCCAGGATACATTTGTTAGTTCTTTTAGCAGTCCATGGTACTCTCAGCATTCTTCTCCAACACCATAACTCAAAAGCATCAATTCTTCTTCGGTCTTCCTTATTCATTGTCTAGCTCTCACATGCATATGTGGTGATTGAAAATACCATGGCTTGGGTTAGGCGCACCTTAGTCTTCAAGGAGACATATTTGCTCTTCATCACTTGAAAGTCGTCTTTTGCAGCCAGATTTGTCGAATGCAGTATGTCATCTGATGTCTGGACTGCTGCTTCCATTGGTGTTGATTGTAGAACCAAGTAATAATGTATAAGTGATTCAATTAAATAAACAGGCTAAAGTTGCTGACTTGGCTTTGTCTTCTTTTTTCGCTTGAATACCACATCTGAGTAAATCTTCACCCTTAGTAGATCATGTCTTGGGGTCCAGTCTCATGATTCATGTTCCGTAGTACTGTTATACATTGAATAGTGTAGAAGAGACATGACTGTCTTCTCTATTAACTGTTCTGCTTTGTGACTTTGAGCAATTTACTAAACTTCTGAGTCTGCATTTTTGTTCGTTTTTTTTAATTGTGATTTGGGTGACAGTTTACAGAGTAAATTCACTTTGCATACAGCAGGTCACATACACTTTGTCTCATGACATTGATTACAATTTACCACAATGCAACAGTTCCTCTCCCACTTTCTCCCCATAGTTACTGCTTCCCTGTATCCTTCCCTCCATGCACTCCCGTCCCCTGAGCTGTCTCCCTGTGCATACATAGCCCTTGAATCTCAATATTTTTATCTGTAAATTATTGCCAAGACCCCTTACAAGTCTGTCATTCAATGATAGTAGTGATTTTTTTTCATGTACCTCTGCCCTATCAGTCTTTTCTCCTCTGCCCCTTTCTATTCCAACTCCCAGTTCCCTTAAATTAGTTCCTTCTCGCCTCCTGAATGCCTCAGGGATAATAAATCTTGGACCTCTGCTTCTTTCTATTTACACTCACTTCCTTGGTGAGCTCATCTGATTTCATGACTTAATCACTTATGTACTGTCTGCTCACAAATTTATCTTTCCTGAATTCTCCAGAGTCATATATCTTGTTGCTGCTCCTTGAATATGTAATCTCATCTTGTTGTTAGGTGTTGTTGAGGCATAGTTGTCACTGAGTTGCCTGTAACCCATAGTGACACTATACAACAGAACAAAACACAACCCAGTTCTGTGTCATCCTTACAGTCATTGCTATGTTTGAGCCCATTGTTACAGCCACTGTGTCAATCTGAATATATAATAGGCATCTCAGATATACACTGTTAAAAATTAAACTGATATTCCCCTAACTCAAAACCTATTTCTCTTTTATACGGTCTTCCCCATCTTAAGTTATTGGCAACTCCATCTTTGCAGTTGCTCAGGCCAAACCTTGTCATGATCCTTGACTCTTTTTCTCTGGTATAAATGAAATTTAAAATCACAATTAAATGAAATAAAAGTTAAAATCACAAATACCACTGCACATCAGTAGCCTGGTGGCACAGTGGTCAGGTGTCCTGCTGTTACCTGAAAGGTTGGTGGTTTGAACCTGCCCAGCAGCTCTGCAAGAGAAATACCTGGGGCAGTCTGCTTCTGCAAAGATTACAGCCAAGAAAACTCAGTGGAATACTGCTCTGTCATATGGGGTCACTATAAGTTGAAATTATCTTGAAGGCTCCCAACAACAATAACACACTTGCAGTTGGCTTTCATACATTGCCTATAGAAAAGTGGTTCAACCTGTTAATACCAACGGTATCTTACTAACACTAAACATATGACTACACAGCAGTTCCACGCTTAGATATGTATCTGAGAGAGATGAGTGCATATATCTACCAGAAGACTTGTTTTAAGAAAGTTCACAGCACCTTTATTCATCAAATAGCCTCAAACTGGAAATAACCCTTGTAATGTCTTACTTAACAAGAGAGTATATAATTATTACATTGGAATACTACAGTGAACAGTAGTAACTGTATGCAACAACAGTAGTAACTGTATGCAACAACAGTAGTAACAAGTATTCATTTGACTAGTACTTTGTTGGAAGAAGAATAAATGCAGTAAAAACAGGCTGTGTATACCTTTATACTTGTTCACAATAGTAAAAAAGGGCCATGCTGTTTTATTAACAATATGGATGATTCTCATGGACATGTTGAGTGACAAAAGCCAGACACAAAACAGTACTGTGTCTGGTACTGTATCTTGATCCAGGTTAATAGTTACATGTATATGTATATTCTTACGTGCTGTCCAGTGGGTTGTTAGTTACAGCAACCCTATGTACAACAGAATGAAACTCTACCTAGTCCTGTGCCATACATACATGGATGTATACATATGTAAAAATTCATCCCTCTGGTACAGCATTTTACTCTGCTTATTAAACCTCAATAAAGAATTTATAATAAAACTGCCATTTTTTTCAAGAAGCATTCGGTGTTTTCAATAAACAGATTATTCATTGGTGATTTTCTCAAAGATTCTCAACAAAATAGTAATAGGAACAATTCACATGCATATTCTACATATTAAAGCCCTTTGAATTCTTGTGAATGAATATTTAATGCTTATTGATTTGATAATTCAAGCAAAATTAATTTACTAAAGATTTATAAGGTACTCATTCACATGATTCACTGATTAATAAAAATAACTGACACAATTTGAAATTTCATATTCTTAGGATTTTTTTTTTTTTTTTGTAATAGATTTCAGCTATTTGTACATGCTTAAATCTTTAAAATCTCAGTGCAATATGCATTTGACTAGTATTTTGTTGGAAGAATAAATGGAGTAAAAATAGACTGTGTTGTCACCTGTATACTTGTTCACATTACAAAATTTAGATCTTAAAATTAATGTAGAATAGAAGAAATAACACACATTTCATTTTATCATCAAAGAGGGTATTATTTCTGCAATCTTTAATTAGAGTCAGTAGTTTTTTTCTTGTTGCTTTAACTGTCTTACCAACTCATTACTAAAAGAATGTCATGTTTTTACCCCATTGAGTTTGTGTTTACAGTTAAATTTCTTTTAGACAACTGGTAATGATATATAATCTACCCCCAGAATACTGAAAAATTAGAAGCATACAAAACTTTGCTGTTTGAGGTTGCTATAGATTGAATCTGAAGTTAACAGTGTCCAAATTTTTTCTTCAGTTTTGAGAACATAGCTGTCCTTTAACTTGCTTAACTTTAGGCCTCTCTTAAAATGGTTATTACTCTAGGAAGTCTATAGTAGTTTAAGTGACTTCCCAATAAGAAGATTGCAAAAAAAGGAGATAGAAATTAAGAATTTATTAATTTAATCTGAGTGGTATCCTATAAAAGAGGAGAAAAGAAAAAGACAGGAAAGATGACCATGTGACCACAGAGGTATGCCAGAGCTGCAAACCAGTGAACACCTGGTGTTATCAGAACCGGGAGAGTCAAGAAAGCCCCTGAATTCAGAGTACTAGGTTCTAGAAATATAAGACAATATATTTTTTATCTTATTTTTTTAAAATGCATTTTATTGAAATATAATTTATGTACAGTGAAATACACAAAACTAAAGTGACATGGGTCAATGCATTTTTTTTTTTTGCAGTGTCCCCCCACCCCCACCCCT